GTGAGATATGAAAAAAAAGTGATCAAACTCTCCAAATTGGGGAAAAAAACTTTGTTGAATTGCTGTTATTAAATGCCTGAAATATTTCTATTTATTACTCAGATATTTATGCCACAAAATCTTTTCTACTCCTTATTTGTACTATAGAAACAAAAAGTGGTTTTAATTGGGTGATGTTCATACCATCATGAAAGTTTGTGTTTCAGCAATCAGAATAAAAAATTCTCAGTCTCACTATATCAACTTGCTTAAAGAAAATTAACATGGCGGAGAAAATGGGACTGAATCAGTATTTGCCCCACTGTATAAATAGGACATAGCACAAAACTACAGGATATAACTAATTACCTCAGGGCTCTTGTTCCCTGGAAGTTTAACTGTTCTTTTTAGCTTATTTACAGCTTCAGTAATTGCTGGAGTCTCTACCCCATCTAATGCAGAGCAAATTTTTTTGACAGCTCCAATGACTGGTTCCACTGCTTTAAACCGATTCTGACGAGAGAAAAAAATAAGGGTAAAATTAAAGGTAAAATCCAATATTTCTCAAATACATTTCCATTAAACCAGCAGAACATTCCCTTCTATTCCTCCTACAAATACCCTTACAATTCTGGAATGAGCTGCCCCCAGAGATTAGGGTGATCCCTGATCTCCCTTCCTTCCGCCGCGCCCTTAAGACATGGCTATTCCAACAAGCGGGACTGGCCTAGGGCAATTTTTAGAGGGGTTTTAATCATATTTTAATTAGACTATATTTAAATATTTCTTCTTAATTAATTTTAATTCTGTAATTGTTATTGGTGTATTTTTAATCGATTGTCAGCCGCCCTGAGTCCGCAAGGAGAAGGGCGGGATATAAATTTAATAAATAAATAAAATAAATAAATAAATTCGAGGATATATACCTCTTGATTTATAGGAATGTGCAGGGAGAGAGGAAATCTGTTCCATTGACAGATGCCATTTCGTCGGCAAATAGATGTTTTGGGCATATGTTAGAGAAATAATAAGGCAGGTATTATATATAATGAGTCCATTTAAATATTTTTAATTTAGTTGCACCCATTCTTCCACTGGCTGCCACCCAACTCTAAAGCATATTGGATTGAAGAATTGACGACAAGTTCACAGAACAGTATTGTGTATACAATAATCTACACAGAAGGTTATTTGTTCAGCACGGGGATAGTCCTATTATGTTTTGAACCTGTGTGTGGCAAACAGTGGCACAGGAAATATCATATGGAAGAAGAATTAAAGAGTGAATTCATTTAAATTTTGGCCTATCCTAGATGTTGCCAATGTCCACTTTTTTTTTACTTCACTGTAGTAACACTCCTTCTTACCAGATGAAAATGCCATACTGGTGACATGAATAAGATAAAGTATAGTTCAGGGCAGAGGTCCCCAAACCCTGGGCGCAGCCCACTACTGTGCCGTGGCCTATTTGGAACTGGGATGTGCGAGAGGCAGGCCAGAGTGCACACACGCATGTAGCTCAACTCGCATGAGTGGCAGGGCGGTGCACATGTAACTCAAATTTTAGTCGAGCTGCGTGTGCATGTGTGAGTGTGCCGGCCCACCACTTGTGCAAGTTCAGCTGTGCATCCTGCCCTGCCCACTCATGCGGCCCAGTTCTCAACACCCCCCCCAGCCAGGCCGCCAAGCCACAAAGGTTGGGGATCGTTGGCTGAGGGCACTATTATGTTTCAACTGGAAGACAAAACGTAATGTATGAAGCTTAAAGTAGATTGGAAAGTAAGGCTTAGGAAAAAAATTGTGTTTGAGGAATAACATCTAACAAATCCCAAACCACAAACAGCTTATGGTACAATATAAATATAAATACATTTATGTATATAAATATTATTATAAATGTATGATTAGTAAAGCATGAAATGTACTGGACGTAGGCTGAGAAATCATTCATAAGGGTGTCTTGCAACATACATTGATGCAAACACCCCCCCCCACTTCTCCCCAATGAGTTGAATTTTCCAAGAGGTTCTTGACAATCAGAAAGCCTTTAAAGTAATCAGAGTCTTCCAGAGGACGCAGCTATTTCAAGACTTCAAGGAGTAAGTCACTCATACTCATACCAATATGAATTGCAAAGTGCTTCTTTGCATAACCATAATAGGAGACAAATTGAATTATAACATTTACCTTATTTTTAAGTATTATGTCAACTTGATTGTGATAAGCTTCTAATAGTTCTTCAAGAGAATGGCTGGAACCAATGAGAATAATTCTATTACTTGTGGCATACTATTAGTATAAGCTTTGTAAAACGAATAAAAAGGCACCAACATGACAAATGCTTGATTACAAAATGTAATGTTTGATTGCCCCTGGAATAAGGTTCTACCCTGAGATCTATGGCTCCCATCCTGATGGCATTCCAGAAGGCTCTAACAAACTGGCTATTCTCCCAGACATTGCAGTAGACTAGATGGAGTCCATTATTAGAAATACCTGAATATGTTACATATATTTTGGAGTTAGTTGTTTGGATTTTCCATCTTGTTATTTTCCGTTACTGTATTTTTATTTTTCATACTGAATCTGCACCTAGAGTGCGCTCTCTCTCTCTCTCTCTCTCTCTCTCTCTCTCTCTCTCTCTCTCTCTCTCTCTCTCTCTCTCTCTCTCTCTCTCACACACACACACACACACACACACACAGATATATACACATATACATATACATATATACACACACACATGTACAAATATGTATACATATATACATATACATATATACACATATATATACATATACACACACATATACACACACACGTTAATACATATACATACATAATACATATACATACATATACATACACATACATACTTGACCCTAGAATTGGTTTGGTGCTGGGTAGCACCAAAATTGAAACAAACAAATAATATTATGACAAAGTTGTTACCTCTGAATGGTCTCTCTGAAAAACTTTTCTACATGGCAGAGATGTTTTGCCAAATCTATTGGTGTCCCATCATCATCTTCCTAATAATAGAAAATGCATAAGTGATTTGCCAAACTTATCAATGTTCTCCCTTGCCCTGTAAAAAATAACCTAAAGATGGATAGCAAGTTTTATTCTGAGAGTTCTGAAAATGAAAAAATTAACATTTTTTGCTACCTCCATAAATAGAAAACTGATAATAAATGTCTTCTTTCAATTTCTCTACTAAAAAGTGGCTGGCTGTTAAGTTCATATACAAGAACTAATATTTGATAGCATCCTCCAATTTAACTAGGTTTACTCAGGATGAATTACCAATTTTTATAACAAACCTACATGTAACAGTAATTTGTTTCACAGGTGTATTCATTATTAGCTTCATTACTGGATTTCTTAGACTTTCAAAAAAACCACCCCATGATCAAAAACCCTCCATGCTTCCCGCATTTGTGTTTTCACCTGTAGCAATGATTGCTGTTCTATGGATTCTCTACCCTAGCCTTTAAGCTGCCAGATAAATATGTAAACAGTATCTGGAAGTGGAATATGGCAAATCAGGAATCCTTGCTATTTAGTGAGTTTAATATATATTAGTGTGTCATTAGGACCAATTTCTAACCTACTGAAGAAGAAATATCTTGACTGATCTTTAAAGAATAGAGTAAGAATGGTTAATATTTAGAGATCACCAGGAAATCACAGGACTATAGTCTATACTGGGAAGGTGAAAACATTTTCAGAAGAACACAATGATAAACCACCTATGTCTTGTTACACTTAAGGAAAACTGTATGGATACATCCAATAGACACCAGGATTTGAGCTCAATTTGAAAGTTTTTTCTATTTCTAACTAAGGCCAGTATCAAGAGTGGAGATCTTGGGATATATCATCTTGTGAAAATCTAGTTCTCTGGTGAAAGCTCTAATGCCAGGAAAGGCGGAAAGAAAGAGAAGAAGAGGATGACCAACAGCAAGATAGATGGAATCACAGTGGCAATGGGTGCACAGCTGGAAGATCTGAAAGGCCAGGTTAGTGACTGTTATGGTGAAAATCTAATTGGTTGCTAATAGTTGACATCGATTTGATGACACATAATAAATCAATTAATCAATATTTGTAACGAGGGTGGTTTACAATTTTTGTAAGAACTAGCAGCGGAAAGAGACTTTCTCGCTGTTCTTGAATTACTTGATGCGCTGCATAACAGAGAGGAAGAAACTAGACCAGAGATAACAGATAATTCTAGGTACATGTGAGTCATGGTTACAAGACAGAGTTCACAATACAATAATAAAAACAAGCAATATGCAGAACATCAATAATACATATAAAAAGAATAAATGATGGTTGTTTGGATAAGTGAGCTTCCCTTGTACTTACTGTTCGTGCAAGATCTCTGCAAATAACATTATTAGTCAATAACTGTAGAATAATCTCTGTGTCCCATTTTCGACAGTTTTGAATATACTCATGGCTTCCCACACAATGCTTGCTGTGAAAACAATAAATGCTGGTGATTATTCACTATTTCAAATTATCAATAAGATTTTCAATGAACATGAGTTCAAGTCCTGCCTTAGCCATGAAAACCAGCTGGGTGACTCTGGGCCAGTCACTCTCTCTCTCTCAGCCCAATCCAACTCACAGGACTGTTGTTGTGGAGAAAACAGGAGGAAGGTGTGTTGGATAGGCCTTGAATTATTTGTAAAAATAATAAAGGCAGGATACAAATAAATAAATAAGAATATATGGACATGGTTTTTAGAATCCATGGCTCCCTTCCCTTCACTAGTTTTCCCATTTCTCTTTTCAAATATTGCTTAGCAGAACTAGAAAGGGGCTAATAGCAACCATGGTTGGAAAAGCTTACAGAGATTATTCTGAATTTCTGCTTACTATGTTATTAATAGTAAATAATTAGGATGCTAGTCTTCTAAGCATCAAAAACACGCTGAGCAAATATATTTCTCAAATAAAATAACTCTAGACATATTTAAAACTATTATTTTGGCATATTTAAATGGAACAGGATTTATATTCCCAGCTTTGCCTGTTCTGATGTAATTGCCCCATTACTGTAGCATATATTTTAAACATGAAAAGTTGGCAGAATCACTCTTAATAAAACTCCAGACTAAGAGATGATGCAGAACCTGCAATAAGCCAAAAATATATTCGTTTTAAGTAACTGACAAGACACATGTTTTTACAACTAGCTGCCATTTTCAAATACTACAGGATTCTGCATTAGACAATTGAATGTATTCCATGACAGCATATTTTTTCTAAGTATAGTTAAGTTTGACAATGCTAGTATGATTTATTATCAATCTGAAATCTAAACAGATCAAAATAAAATAAAATGAACAATATGCCATATCTAAATGAATACAGTAGAGTTCCAAATTCAACGATAACACCTATTTTAATTCTGATTGCTAAACTACTTACTCTTTTTCCAATTAGTAACAGTCAAATTTGTATTCACTATAGTTTTGTAGAAATCAGGATGTAACCAAAGCAAAACTTACTTCTGTAAAACTTCTTCTTGTCCACAAACTTTCAAAATATAACTGCCAATATCTACATTGTTCAAGTCATCATGCACCCAGCAAAGAGCCTGCATTATTATAAGTTCAACTGGAGAACTCACTGTTTGGAGAAAAACAAACACAGAAGAAAAGGCAACAAAAATAGTGAACTGAAGGCAGTTTTGTAAAATAGAAAAAAATGAGCAATTAACTCAATGCAACCTGAAGAGTTTTTGAAATATTGTAGTTAGCAATTTGAGTAATAGAATAAAAAAATAATAGCAATTTATTCTCAAAAATCCATTCAGCTGTAATTAAAAGGCATATCTGATGCTCTATGGCAGGGGTGTCAAACTGCTGGCCCGTGGGCCAGATGCGTTATCTGGAAGCTGCGCCCACCCCATTGCCGGCAATGGCAAAACTGTCCCGATACGTTGTGCGACGTCACATGACGTCACGAGTTTGACATGTCTGCTCTATGGCTACCTCAGAAGGTAGGAAAACAAAACGTATGTTGCAAACATAATGGATGGGATTAAAAATACAGGTAAAAGTCCACACGTTTTAAATATCAGTTCCAATGGAAATGGCTCCTGTAATGCTGATCTCTAGGAATGTGCTTGATAACCCATGGAAGTCAAGCCGAAATGTCTTAAAACCATGAAGTTTATGCCCTGCCTGGCCTTTTTTGCATGGGGGGGGGGGGAAGTGCTAAGGCAGCCAGATGTTTCCTTTTGGAATTGCAGAGCTCTGCGGAGTCTTGGGAAAGCTGTGCTTTCTTTCCAGAGCCTTGGAAAAGTAAAGGTATTTTTTCTTTTCTTTTTTTTTTTTTACTACAAAGCCAGCCCCAGCACTCCAACCCCACCCAGGAGCATGGGAAAGGGGGCATTTTAAGACTGTAGCGGAGTGGCTGCCTTTAGCATTTTTTCCCCTTCTTCTTTGTAAAA